TTGCACACCTTAAAATTTGAGACATGCTGCTCTAAAGCAAGTCTGTGACTGTACATTAGAATCACCTGGAGAGCTTTGACACCATGCCCACAAGAAGTCCCCACCCCATCAATTAAATCAAAAACTCTGAGGGTGAGGCCCAGGCAGTGGTGGTGTTGTAAAAGCTTCCCATGTGATTCTAATACACAGCCTGGGCTGAGAACTGGTCCTCTGAAAACAGCAGTCCTGCTGGAACTCTGGGCTGAAGGGTTTTCACCCATGGATTGCTTTGGAAGACCTTCAGAGCACAGAGTATAAAAATGATATTCCCATTTATGTGAGATTTTACATTTTCCAGAATGCTTTCCCAACGTTACCTTGTATGGCTCTCACACTGGCTCTATAAAGTAAAAAGGGCATAAATAGTTATAAGCATAAATATTTACACCCATTTTAGAGATAAAGAAATTGAGGCTCGGGGAGATTGACTTGTTCAGTGTCGAATGGACAGTCACAGAGCGGGTGGTAGAATCATACCTCTTACTCAGGTTCCTCTTATCTGTTCAACTCTTAGAAAATCTGTACACACAAATCTCAGTGAGAAGTAAGTAGCCCCTTTACAACTGTGGGGCAGGGCATCCTTTGGTCAAGGCTTTCAAAGTGTCTGTCGTCAGGTTAATTGTAAAGAAGTGTTGTCTCACTGTAAACTTGGGGAAACCGAGGCATGGTGGTGGCGATGAATGGTAACGAGAGAGAGTAAGGAAGGATGCAGGGTTCCTGGCTTCCTCCCTAATGTTCACAGGATGTGGTTTGATAAGGAGGTAAGGAGTGATGGTTGCTATGGTAACCACATCTTCATTGATGTCCATCCACATGAGATTTGCTTGGTGGCCAGTCACCCCACCCCACTGTGAAAGGGTCATGGAAAAACCTCTGTCCATGCTGAAGTCCTCCCTTGAAGGATGGAGGCCAACCTGTCCTCTACCCCAGCCTGGGATACAGGGGCATCCTGGGTGATGGATGGGGAGTTTCTCTGAGGGAAACCAAGTAGCCAAGGCCTTTTCCCCCGAGTGATGGAGGATGTCCCCTCTGGGCCCTGCATCCCCTGCCTGCCTTCCTAATTTTTCTCCTCACCCTCTGCCTTCAGCTGGTTGGTTTCATCCATTCTTGTCTGGCTGCCTCACCCGAGTCAACATTAAATGCTCTTGAGGAAGAGGCCCATAGAAGTCTCCTGTAGTTCCCTGAGCCCAGGCACAAAGCTGAACTGTTGTTCAGTTCAAAAAATAAAGACTCGTTGAACTGAACCACTTTTCTATCCCTTTGTTGGGGGGACAGAGAGGGAGATGGTGGTAGAATTCCTAGCGGGGCAAAAGGGGCTTGCCCAGCCTCTAGGAACCCCCAGTGCCTAGCGCACAGCTGGCACAAAGCAGATGCTCAATAAATGTTGAGCGAATGAATGGAACCTAGATCAGGAATTAGGACATTCCAGTTCTGGTCCTGCCTCGCTGTGTGATCCTGAGCAAGTTTCTTACCTTCTCTGTGCCTCAGTTTCTTCTGTCACAAGGAGAGGATTCTACTGTGCCATATTGTGATTCTGTGTGTCTGAAACGATTGTGACCACTTGGAAGACAGGAGCCAGCTCTTATACATTGTCCTATCTCCCATGGCAACCCACACAGGGCCTTACACATAGTGAGGCTTCAAATTATCTGCCGAAGCAAAGAAAGAGGGCAAAAGTGCTTTGAAAAATATACAAGTGTTATATTTGTGAGGAAGTATTGATGTTCAGAAGTATCCATGCTTTCCTGCTGGGCAAGGCACTGGCTGATTGTCTGGTTCTTGAGGTTGTTAAACACCTCAAACCTTTCTAGAACAAGGTGAAGTAAAAATAAATACATTTATTCTTTGTAAGTTTCAGAGAAACCCCAAGGAAAAGGTGGGTCCTATAGGTCTGCCCTTTTCTACTTTTCTTCTTTTGGTTCAGATGGCTCGATGGGGCATGGCTCAGTGCTGGCCTTGCCTGCTTTGGCCTCCCTCTGTGCCTCCAAATCTTCCCAGCCTGAAGCAAGCAGCCCAAGGCCAACGTGTTCCCCAGCATGGGCAGCAGGCAGAGACACCAGCCGTAGTGGTAATGACCACTGGCGTTTTTGAGGCTCACTGTGGGCCAGTGCTTTACATGTATTATTATCCCTGCATTTAATCTTCACTGCAGCTGTATGAGGAAGGCACTATCATTATCCGAATTTTAAAGGTGAAGAAACTGAGGTTCAGAGAGGTGACATCCCCAAGTGAATCCGTGAGTGTGATAAAGGCAGGGGAAGAACTAGGTGTTGGTGCCTCCGCGAGAAGGGCCAGTGACTCTGCCGACGCCCTACACGCAGTGAAGGAGCTGGAGAAGAAATGGCAGAGCAGCAGGGGCCCCATGCAAAGCAGGCCCAACAGCGATGGTGGGAGGGGCCCTATTGCCCTATTCAGAGCTGAATGGCAGCTACCCTTTGAAACATATCTTGCTGCACTGTCGGGCTGGCCCCCCAAGTTCATTTCAGCCGCCTCCTGATCCAGTCAGGAAACAGACACACACTCACTCATCATGTGTCGGCCCAGCCCTGGCTCAGGGCACGCCTCTGAGGCTTCTGCTTCATTGAACCCTGATGCATGCTCACGGTATGAGCTCCAAGCCCCCAACTCCAACCCCAGCCTCAGGCTTCTGGAAGCTGCACCTGGGGCCCGTGCTGAGCTCAGCTTTCCTCCTAAGAAATGGGAGAATAGCCAGATACTGCAGGGAGTGACGAGAGAGAGAAAAATTACTCGTTCCTCCAACTAGGAGGCATCATCAGCTAGATGACTACCTTTTGGCCTAGAAAGCTTTTTCCCCACCCTCCCAACTGTGCCCCCCACTCCAGCTGGCCTCAGGCCATACACTCATGAAATTCCAACTCTCCCAAGAAGCTTTGCAGGACATCCTAGAAGAAAGAGGACCACTCTAGCTCAGAGGAAAAAAGGGAACTCAAGTCTCGTTCCCCGCCCCCCGTTACAACCACATCTTTTTCCTGCAGACAAAAATACATAATTTATCTCGTGTTATTCTCTCCGTACAGTATTTATTGTGGCATCTTCTCCACTAGAGGGCACCTCTAAGGTTATTTATTTGGAATCTAAGTTCTTAGGGGTACCCGGGGGGAGAGGCTGGGAAGTATACACACTGCACACCTGCACCTGCATACTCCCCTACAGAACCCAGCAAGTCCAGGGTAAATACTCATTTTTTATTTTCTTTGTTTAGTTTATAATTCCATTTGTCCTCGAAGCAAGCCACCATCCCCACTTCCTGCTTAGGGTGAAGGTTCTCTATGGGAATCTTCCTCAACTGCTTTAGACCAGATTTGGAACTTGACTTCAGGCCAGTGGTTTCCAAAGCTTACTGGACATCCAAATCACCTGGGGAGCTTTAAAAAAAAATCTCGATGCTTAGTTCACACCCCAAACCAATTACATCAGAATGTCTGGGAGCCAGACATCCATATTTTTTAAAGATCCCAGGATAGTCCAGTTTGCAGCAATGTGGGGAGCATTGCCTTAGGTCTGTCTGATTTCCCACCCACACCCCACAAATGCCTCCTCCCCATCACAGCAGAGACCAGTGACCTTGGCTGTGGACTCAGCTCACCCTGGTCTCTAGGCCAGCTGGGATCAAGAGTTGAGAACCTCAGGACCTCTCACTATTTATGTGATCTTGCAAGTCAAGCATTGACTTTGGGACCTGATCCTGATAAATGCACTTTTCATCCAGATTCATTCTCATCTTAGACGCAGGTTCTTTTAATTGAATTCAAATAATAGCAACATTTACTGTGTACTCATAATGGTTGGGTTTTACATACAAAATCCCCATTTAATTAAAGTAACCCATTTTGCAGATGAGATGGATTAAATAACTTTCCCAAAGTCGTACAGCTGGTGAGTGCAGCAGAAGCACGGTTTGAATCTGTGTCCACTAACCTTGGAGTCCCCCCTTCATAACCGTGTAGTGGGTTACCTCCCTATGCTTGCTTCGTCTCTGTGACCACTCTCTCTGGTGCCCCATCCATGGGATAGAGGCCCCGCCCTTCTCTTTCCGCTCATCCCTTCTGTGTCAGTTTCCTGGAGCTGCCATAACAAAGTACCACAAACTGGATGGCTTAAAACAATAAAAATTTATTCTCTCACACTTCTGGAGGCTAGAAGTATAAGGTGTCAACAGGATTGGTTCCAGGCTCTGAGGGGCAACATGTTCCATGTCTTTCTCCTACCCTCTAGTGGTTGCCAGCAATCCATGGCGCTCCTTAGCTTGGAGATGCATCGCTCCAATCTCCACCTCTGTCTTCACATGGCCTTCTTCCTGTGTGTCTCTCTGTGTCTCCACATGGCCTTCTTATAAGGACACCAGTCATTGGGCTAAGGGCCCACCCTAATCCAGCATGACCTCATCTTAACTAACTACAGCTGTAAGGACCCTATTTCCAAACAAGGTCACATTCTGAGGTTCCAGGTGGACATTTTAGGGGGGCACTCTTCAACTCAGTACCCCCTCCTACCCCAGAGACACAAGTTCTGCCTCTGACCTCATTCACCTAGGTGACCAGGGCCTGCTATCTGCTGACAAACCTCAATCCTAATGACCTGTTGTCCCCTGTCAGATCTCCAGCTCCCGCTGCTCGCCCAGCTGGCTGTGGACAGCTCCCAGCTCCTGCCTACCTCTGCCAGCATGGCCCAGATGCTGGTCCCTCCCCGTGTTCTCTGCTACTGCATGCGTACCCCAAAGACACACAATTAATAATCTTGGATCTTTACAGTTGCAAGTGCCCTGAGGGCAGGACCCGCATCCCTAACAGTCCAAGGCTGGCCCAGACACCGGCTTGTTGACCAGTAAGGAGGAGAAGTTCTCCGTGAAGCCCCCGACTTCCCCACCCCCACCCCCACCCCCAGTCTTACTATTTAGCTCTGAGGTTAATTGCTTTTATTTTTCTTTGCTCTCTTTGCAGGAAATGGGTATATTGAAGGTAAAGAGCTAGAAAACTTTTTCCAAGAGCTGGAGAAGGCAAGGAAAGGCTCTGGCATGGTAAGCCCAGCCCTCTCTCCCATTGTTGTGCTTTTCTGTCATCCCGACGGTGGCTTTGAGCCACCTCATAACCGTCCCAGGTTATGCATCCCATCAGCGGGCCTGACGTCTCTGGTCTTGACACTTAGTTTTCCTTTTATTTGTGAGGATTTTTAAAAATTTGGAATACTCTTAGGGGCCAGCCCTGTGGCGTAGCAGTTAAGTGTGTGTGCTCCACTGCTGGCGGCCCGGATTCAGATCCCGGGTGCGCACCGATGCACCGCTTGTCAGGCCATGCTGTGGCGGCATCCCATATAAAGTAGAGGAAGATGGGCACAGATGGTAGCCCAGGGCCAGTCTTCCTCAGCAAAAAGAGGAGGATTGGCATGGATGTTAGCTCAGAGCTGATCTTCCTCACACACACACAAAAAAATTGGAATACTCCTTCAAAAGAACACCTGACCTCGATATCTTTGGGTGTCTGGGATGGGGTGTTCATGGATAGACACCAGGGGTTGATGAAACCCCCCAAAACTGCAAAGCGTTGTGTCTGTGTATGTGTGTATAACAAGTATTTTTGCCTAGGGAAGAGTCCACAGCCTATCCAAGATGCACAGAGGGCTCGTGACTCAAGATTGGATGCCTAGGGGGTTTCAAGTGCCTTTATTCTAGACCAGAGTCTCTCAGCCTCGGCACTGTTGACATTTGGGGCTGGATATTCTTTGTTGCGGGGGGCTGTCCTGTGCATTGCAGGATGATTAGCAGCATCTCTGGCCTCTACCCATGAGATGCCAGGAACACCCCTCCAAGTTGTAACAATCAAAAATGTCTCCAGACGTTGCCAAATGTCCCCTGTGGGGGATACAGAATCGTCCCCACTAGAGAACCACTGTTCTAGACCAAGGCTGGAATCCTCAGCAAAGACCTAGGGGAAAATGGAGGATTGCTCCAAACCAGTATCTGAACCAGATGGTGCTGGCTGGCCTCGTGCATGGAGGTGTCAGACTGCCCTTCTTAGCCTGCTGGAAGTGACTCCAGATCACGTCCCAGCCCCTTAACAGCAGGGACATTGTTTCCCCTGGTGCCAACCCAGCAGCACTGAAGGCACTAAAGCCTTTTGGGAGAGCATCTGAAATATTGAAATGCTAAGGAGATTGGAGCTAGTCTGTTGGGATTCCATGTCTGGTTCTCGAATATGTGGAGACAGACCCACTCCCTCCTCCAACCTCTTGCAGGTCCTTTGGGGGTCTCTCTACTCTCCCCTGCTGCATGTCTGTTGGTCCATCTACTGCTTGTTAGCCAGTCTTCATGGAGCAGTTCGGGAGATGAGTCACAGACCCACTGGTGAGCTCCTGGTTCAGAGCTCGGCAGAGCGCCCCAGTGAGGAGGAGGGCCAAGCAATGGGCTTAAGCGATGGAGGTGATTCATGGGTTTGTTTATCAACAGTTCCCTTGTCACCTCTCATTACTAGGATAATGAAGCCTGGATCACAGAAAACACAGGCTTCACAACTGATTCTGGGATCATGGGGTAGGTGGAAGAATGTGTTTTTATGAAGGGCTTCAAATCTGAAATCCTTCTCTTAGTCATTCCCTTCCTCAGATGGCATCAGCAGTGATTTTCAAGTCTGTCAACAATAGTATCAACTGATACCCTCCCAGACTGGTCCTCGGAGCAGCTGTTATGTGGTGGAAAGAATATTGGCCTTGGAAGCAAGAGCCATGAGTTCAAATTCTGGCAACACTAACTGATGACCTCAGGAGAAGTCACTTCGTCTCAGCCTCCATTTGTGTGTAAAATGGACAGGCCACTAACCTCATGGAGACTTGTAAAAATTGCATAGGATGACCACATTTGTGATAAGCGCCTAGGATCATTCCATGTATATTTGTAAATGTAAAGCAGTAAATATTGATAAACAAATAAATATTGGTAAATTGAAACCAGTTCCAAAGGTAAAAAACAATAGTAGGGATTCAGAAAAGACTCTAAGAGGGCCGGCCCCATGGCTTAGCGGTTAATTGCGCGCGCTCCGCTGCTGGTGGCCCGGGTTCGGATCTCGGGCGCGTACCGACTCACTGCTTCTCCAGCCATGCTGAGGCTGAGTCCCACATACAGCAACTAGGAGGACATGCAGCTATGACATACAACTATCTACTGGGGCTTTGGGGGAAAAATAAATAAATAAATAAAATTATAATTGATAGCTTCTAAAAAAAAAAAAAGAATTAAAAAAAAAAAAACTCTAAGAATTGGTAGAATTCTCCTGGCCCAATCCTAGGAAACATATTACTCACCCCAAATTTCAAGTTTTTTGCCTTTCTAGTCATCACAGTAGTCTAGTGGACTATCTAAATCACCCCTCAGCTATATGAAGACTTTCTCTTCACATTCTTCCTGGCAAAAAATTCAGAGTAAAAAACATTGTGGAATTGCCAGTTAGTCTTTAGAGAAGAAAATGAGCATGTCACCTTGCTATGGTGGATTGCTTAGAACCTATTGGGGGCCACTGGAATAAGATGGGTTTTATTAGAAGCTACCTCAGTAAAATGATGGGCCCTCCGTTCTTGCATCTGAGTGATGGGGATAAGTCCTCGCCCTTCTGATAGAGCTGTGGTTTAATCCATCTCAAAGACAGAGGGACATGTTTAATTACGTGGTACGGAGCATACCCACATGTCCTCTTTCCCTTTGAAAATTATGTGACTGAACCTCAAAGAAGAGACCATTTGGATTTGGAGGGACCCTGAAAAGGAAAAGGATACAGCACTGATTACTCAGAGGATAGGCTCAATCTGGTTCCGTGCCTGCATATTTAGGGTGCAAAATGATTCCCACCACTGCTGCACCAAGAGGGTGAAAAATCTGTGGTTCACATGGGACACAGCAGCAAAATCAGCCCCCTTTGTCTTTCCATAGATGTCGAAGAGTGACAACTTTGGGGAGAAGATGAAGGAGTTCATGCAGAAGTATGACAAGAATGCAGACGGGAAAATCGAGATGGCAGAGGTGAGTCCTATTGGCTCAGAGCTGCATGGTAAGAGCCATCTGTTGCCTGTGCCTCTCCCATGCACAAGTGTCCTTCTGGGGATCTAAATGAGGCGGTGATCTTAAAGTCCCCACCCCACCCCAGACTTAGGCTGACCAAAGAGAACAGATGGGGCTTTTTCTGTCTCACAAGGAAAGAGGAAGCACCAAAGATTGGCCTAAGACAGAGATGAGACCTTAACTGCTCCCAGGGTCCAATGAGTATTGTACACGTGTAATGAGCCCAGAGATAGAAGAGAGGGTGAGGACTGAGGAGCAGGAGAGTTCCTGCCCTACGTAAAGGCATCCAAAGGCAAAATTTAAAACAATTTATATATATATAAACTTATATGTATACTTATATATAATTTATATATATACTTATATTTTTACATATTTATATGTAATTATATATATAAATATATAAAATATTTACATATAAATGTAAATAATTTACATATATAGCATTATAATTTATGTATCTATATACACACATGCATTCATATACACGTAGATATATACATATTGTTAAAAGATAAACTGAGGCATATTAAAAATTTAAAAAGTTTATTTGAGCAAAATCTGTTCAAATGGGGCAGTGCCAAACTGGAAATGGTTAGGAACACTCCACAGACAGGAGCTCAGGGAAAGACTTTTATAGAGAAGTGGCGGGAGCAAAGCAAGGAAATGATTTGATGGCTGTAGCTTAAGTGGTTGCGTTATTTGGGAAAGCCTAGTTGGCTGTTTTGGCTGTTGGTTTAGATTTGGTTTGCTTGCATGAGCCACTAAGGCATTAAGCCCCTCAGTCTATTGGCCTTCTTATTTAATTAACTTAACAATTTATATATACACGCCTACACACACATACACTCATATATACACATACACGTATGCCCATGTGTGCAGGCCTAACCAAACAGCTCTGGCAGTCAGCTTGCAACCCGTGGTCAAGGGGTCAAGAATAATGATGGCGGCCCACAGTGAGGGCATAACCCCCCACCCCTGGGCAGCAGAGACTGAGACAGAGATTCGAGTGGCTGGGATTTGCTGAGGGAGAACTCTCAAGAGAAGGGAAGAGAGGGCCACAGGAAAGGGCAGAGGAAGCAGCTAAGGACGTGGTCTCAGCTGGAGCCTAGTATTGCCTGCTCTCACGGGAAGCCATGGAGTGTGGATTGTGCCACAGAGTTGGTCCCACCTTGAGGCAAGGGGGCGGTCCTTTATACCCTATGTCAGTCAGTCATTGGAGGCAAACCGCCCCCGCCCCCAGGTTGCGTGGGGTGGGGAGGATGGCTGGGGCAGCCCTAATTTGGTGGAGGGCAGTTCTCCTGCAGGGGGCAGCTATGAGCCATTAGCAGTCACCCTTCACAGCAGCTGAGGGATGGCCCACTAGCCTAGTTACTGAGGATCTGGGACAGGTACCAAGAGCATCCATTGTAGATGCCTAAACTGTAATTCTCAGAACATCCTGACTTGAATGGGCTTAAACCAGGGGTTGGCAGACTTTTTCTATAGAGATCCAGATTCTGGTAAATGTTTTAGGGTTTGCAGGCCATACAGTCTCTGTCACAACTCTTCAACTCTGTCTTTGTGCACAAAAGCGGCCACAGATAATATGTAAATGAATGGGTGTGGCCATGTTCCAATACACGTTTATTTATAGAAATAGGCTTTGGGCCAGATCTGACCATAGTTTCCTGACTCCTGGCTTAAGCAATGAGAGGCTCCTAATGAGAATGGCCATGGGCAGGGTTGATTCCAGGTGAAGGAGGCCAGGTGTCCCGTTCTGCTCCTCTGCAGTTCTCTTGGTTCTGTTCTCTGCTCCCCAAACGGCTTCATCCTCAGGCTGGTAGCAAGCTGACTGCAGCGGTTCCAGGCGTCACATCCAGATACAACCAGGCCCAGATGCAGAAAGGGCCCATCTCTTTTGGTCCCTCATAAGAGCAAGGAAACCTTTCCCAGAAGTGCCCTCAGCAGACCGCACGTTTCATTGGCCTGGACTAGGTCACATCCCTCCCCATAAGCCAATCACTGGCAAGAGAAATAGGATTAGCACACTTAGCTGAGACTAATCAGGATTCACCTGTGACCAAGGATGCTGGAAACAGAAGAGGGGAAGGCCAGTGGGTGGGCAGCCAGCAGAGTTGGCTGCACAAGAGTACTTGCATTTTTTAAGTCAGATTTGTTGAGGTATAATTTACATATAATAAACTGCATCAATTTGAAGTGTAATTCCATGAGTTTAGACAGTTGTATACAGCCGTGTAATCACCACCACAATCAAGGTACAGCAATTCTATCTCCCCCAGAGGTGCCTCCGCCTGGTGTCAGCCATCCTGCCCTAGCAACCACCCATCTCGGATGAGTTTGCATTTTTTAGAATTTTATATATACGGAACAATCTATTCAGTATTCTTGTGAGTCTGGGTACTCGCATTTTTAAAGTGGCCCCACTTTCTGTCCCTCTAGCTGCTCATACCCTAAGGTTGGAGGTGACTCAGATGCACTTCTCAGAACATCCTGCTTCCCCTTTGAAGGGCTGTTCTCAAGGAAGAAAGCAAAATGGAGCAAAATGCGACTCCCACCCACACTGCCTCGCCACTGGCCATTTTCCATCCTTCCTCCAGGGAGGTCTGCTCTGCTCCCTGGCAGGGCCCTCCATAACATTACTGTTGCCCTCTGATCCCACAGCTGGCGCAGATCCTGCCAACCGAGGAGAACTTCCTGCTGTGCTTCAGGCAGCACGTGGGCTCCAGCGCCGAGTTTATGGAGGTGAGGCCAAGGCGCTGCCTTCTCTCTGCACATTGGGGCGTGCCTTTCTCCCGTGTTCAGGAGCCAGGCACACCCAAATGCCTGGGAACCATCCCTGGGAGACACTAAACCCCTTAGAGCTTTGCTACTCGAAGTGTGGTCATTTAACAAGCTCCCCAGGTGATGTGTGTACACATTAAAGTGTGGGGAATAAGGTGAGAAGTAAGCCTGGGGTCAAGTGTGTTTGGGAAATGCTATGTACACTCTATCTCCCCTTTGGGGATTGTCACAGACATTTGCATACTATGGGCTCTGAGAAATCCTGAAGTAAAAAGACCCTTTTACTCGGTTTGGCTCCAGGGTCTCCCGTACTTTCTTCTCACTCAATAACATTAGTGTCCCTCAAAGTCAGAGCTCCAAAGAGCATGCTTGGGAAGGATGCATTTATGTACCATCTTAAAGGTGGAAAAGCCCAGAATTCCAGGATTGATCTTTGACTGTGGTCTGGGCTTCAGTGGCCGCCATTAAAATGGGCATTGCCGTCATTGCAATAGAAACTCTTTGAGATCCTCAGGTGAAACTGGATATCCACACTCAAGTGTCTTTTGAGTAAGATTCAACCAATAGATTGAACCATGTGAAATTGCTGATATTTAACCATTTTGGATTTACAGAAACTGGAAATTCCGTACGGTTCAACCAAATATATTACTAATCCTGATGCCCAGCAAACTACCAATTATTTCTTGCTATTTTTCTGAGGCTCTGTACCCTAGCCATTCAGCGTATGTGTCCCTCAGAGTGAAACTCAACCTATACCCCACACACACACCGCCTGCTGTGATAAATAATGACTGGCCTTCAACATGACTCAGAGTTACCATTCATCACGTTAAATCCATTTCCAGCCACCGGTAATACCCCGCTCCGTGACTCACTGCCTGAAAAGACTGGAGAGCTAGCCCAGAAACCCACATGGCAGTGAGTTCACCACATGGATAGAAAGTCGGTTAGAAAAAAACAATTCTCAGGGTGGAAGAGTTATTTTTTAAATGGCAGCTTGCCTAAGCATCAAATGTGGATTTAATTTTATGGTGCTTTAAACAATTTTCTCCAGATTTTTCAAGATAGCAAGATTCCATAAACTGGTAATTGACATTCTGGATTCTCTTCTTAGTCTTTCTCTTGCCTATCTGGGGGGAAAGCCCTGCATATACTTGGAACTTGTCAAGAGGCTGCTTTTGTGAGTGTCCATTTTTCTGTCTGTAGAAAAGGGAGCGTTATGCCTGACTGGTCCTTTCCTGATAGGAAGGCAGCCAACGATTGGCCTCTATACCATCTCTGGTCTGGAAAATGGGGATGATGATAACTTGCAGGGGGCAGAGATGCTTAAGGAGGAGCAAAAACACCTCTCTCTCCCTCTCCCTCTCTCTCAAAATCATTAGTGCTTTCTCTCTGTGTAGTTGACATGACTCCATATTCTTATCTGCCTTTATCCTATAAGCCCCTGCATAACTGCAGAGCCACCCCCCTCAAGTTTCCTGGAACCCCCAGCGTCCATCAGTACCATCCCCTCCTGGGGTTGTCCATTTGTTCCGTTTTTATCAGCTAGAAACGTGAAATGGTCCCTCAGTAGCCCTGAAAGTCTTGTGCCCTCAGAGAGCTCCCACCCCACTGCTCAGCACAACATTTTAATTTCTAATTTTAGTGGCACCTCAGGATTTCTTTGAGATTTCACAAAACCCAGGTCTCTTGAACTCTTTTCCTTGGATGGGAAGACAATAATGACCCACCAATGCATGAGCACCAAGTGCAGAAGGGCAGAGAAGTGAGCGTGAGAGCTCGGGGGAGGGGCGGATCCAGGGAGGGAGGGTGGGCCGGCCTGCTGGGATGCTCTCATTCTGGAAGGGAGCCAAGTGCTTTGCTCTGTGCAAGGTCTGAGGTCCCTTCAGGTCATCCTCCTTATAGGCAATTTAAGGGATATCTGCCTTTTTCCCAGTCAAGACTCAACCTAGAGGGACCGGCCCTGTGGCTTAGTGGTTAAGTGCGCGCACTCCGCTGCTGGTGGCCGGGGTTCGGATCCCAGGAGCGCACCAACGCACTGCTTCCCCAGCCATACTGAGGCCGCGTCCCACATACAGCAACTAGAAGGATGTGCAGCTATGACATACAACTATCTACTGGGGCTTTGGGGGAAAAATAAATAAATAAATAAAATTATGAAAAAAGAAAAGACTCAACCTAGAGGAACTAAATTCTAATGCACTGAATGCATGCAGGTGCTTGGTGAAGTCATGTTTGAAAACCTGCACACAGTTCTTAGTACTTTGTCAAGGAGCAGGCTTTCTGGCTATGGAAGGAATATTTTGATGGAACTGGGCATTTTTTTCCCCCAGAGAAAAGACACTCACCTAATCAAATACCCTCTACCTAAGTTGCCTGTAATATAAGTCTACCTTTTTGCTGGGATTTGCCCGTGTCTCATAACTAAAAAAATATCAGGACTGAATTTCCTAAGCCACTACTATACCACAAGAATCACACAGCCTTGTTTGCTGGTATGGGAGAAAGATCCTAAAGTATCTATAAATTCTCACACTCCTGACAATAAAAGGGGGACCTGATGTGGAGATGAGGAGATCAAATTTTGGAAAAGAATTAGTGCTTGCTGACTCTCAGAAAATCAAGTGTTTCTGGTGTCCAGGTGGGCACTTTGGAGCTGAGGGAGAAGGGAAGAAAAATCAAGGGAAGAAAACCTGAAAGAAAATCTAAGAAATACAATCAGGCATCAAAATAGACCAAAGATTTGGGAAATGGGGTTCTCTGGGCCTTTTTGTCACAGATACAGGCAGCACCTTCCCCTCCTCCCCGCCACAGTATTCCTTGCTCTCTACCAGATGGCTCGGGGAGAAGGCTGGGGTTTCGGGGCAGTTGTATACAGGACCATATTTTCTCAGGGCTATTATATTAGTTACCTATTGCTGCGTAAGAAATTACCCCCAAAATTTAGCAGCCTAAGACAACAAACCTTTATCTCACAGTTTCTGTGGTTGAGAATTTGGGAACAGCTTAGCCTGCTGGTTGTGGCTCACAGTCTCTCATGAGATAGAGGTCAAGATGTCAGCTGGGCTGCAGTCATCTGAAAGCTTGACTGCAGCTAGAAGATACATTTCCAAGATGGAGCACTCATGCGGCTATTGGCAAGAGGCCTCAGTTCCTCACTACATGACCCTTGCTATAGGGCTGCTTGAGTGTCCTTACAACATGGCAGCTGGCTTCCTCCAGAGTGAATGATCCAAGAGAGAGAACAAGGAGGGAGCCTCAGTGCCTTTGTGACCCAGTCTGGGAAGCCCCACGCTGTCAATATGGCAGTCAAACCTGCCATATTCTGTTCATGAGAAGCGAGGCACTAAGTCCAGCCCATGTGCAAGGAGAGGGGAATTAGGCTCCAGCTTTGGAAAGGAAGTGAAGAATTTTTGGACATTTTAAAACCACTACAACTATTTTTCCTTGTTTCTCCTGTGTAATGTTTGCTCCTGCTCAGATGGCCAGAACAGAGAGGGAGGAAATGGTCAGACTCATGTCACCTGCAGAAGCTCTACTTCTCTTGGATCCCCTCGATGCTGTAGTCAGCAGGCAGTGCCCTGGTTCATCACAGGGACTCAACACATGCACCAAATAATTGGGACTCAGATCAGAGCCCAGAACCAGGATGGGATAGGATCCAGGGAGGGATCAATTGTCCAGGCCCAGGTCACATGCCCACCTCTGGAGATGGGTCAACCCCTCTTGAACCATATGAATTGAGCATGGGAGAGGGATGGTTTTCCTCAGAAAGGTGGGGGAATGGCCATGGATTGTCTAAACAAACTGATTACACTACCAATTCTGCTCCCCCTTCAGACAGCTGCCATATGCATCTTGATGGAGGGATGGAGAAGGGGGTACAGTGGAGAGTAACCAAAGCCTGTTTCTGCCCCCTCCAGAGAGTTCTTACCCTTGCCTCCAGCCCCCACACAGAGAATGAGAAGCTTCCAGAGCAGTAAAATGACACCCTATATACCCACAGCAAAAATCAGATCTACTAGATCCTAGTTCTAACCCTGGTAGAAGCTGCCTGATTAAAACCTTAGAAAACCACAACCCTGCTTACGAGATGGTCCCAGGCCTATAGCCAGTTAAAGTAGGGAGACCTTGTCTCAGCAGATTTTTCCCCTCTCTGTGTGACCTTGGCCAAGACACTTTCCCTCATTTCTTCATCTGCGACATTGAAGAGACTGGGCTCATCCATCTCCACATCCCCATGCCACTGTAATATTCTTGACTATCAAGACCTGGCCTGGTCTTAAAGGGAAATGGAGGGAGGCTTATAGATGTTGATAGGTCTTTGCAAATGGGTTGACATTCCCATTGCAGGCTTGGCGGAAGTATGACACAGACAGAAGTGGCTACATCGAAGCCAACGAACTGAAGGTAGGCTGGGGCTTGGTGAGGGTGTGGAGGGCTCAGAGAATGAACTGAGGCCAGAGTGGTGGTGCGTTTAAGGAACCTGGAGAGGGCAGAGACGCTGGGTGAGAAACATGGGTACGTGGTCTGCTTAGGAATACTCAGGCCTGGCTCTGAATTGCTGGACATGTTCAGGGCAGCGATGTGAAATCAGTAACATGGGGCTGAAGGGCCACTGAGTTCAACCAAACCACACTCCTCTGCGCATCAGTGCATGCCAGGCATCCTCGAGGCAGTTCCCACAGATTGGCCTTCTGGCTTGTACATCTACCCCTAAATTCCTCTGGAACCAGTGACCCCCAGGCACTGCTTAGCCCTGTATCATGGGCTCTCTGAGGAACTGGAACCAGTTTCTACTGCCTATCCTGTAGGGCAAGTTAACATCCAGGAGTTACCTCCAGGCGTTCAAGGTCACTCCACAAGCATTAAGGGGTCAGGGAATTATGAGGAATGTAACCTTTACAGATGGTAGACCTCAGGAAACAATGTTGACTGAATGAATGAATGAGCAAGTGAATGACGGACTGACTGAATGACTCAGGAGCTCTGAAGAGGCCTTTTGTATTCCAGGGATTCCTGTCTGACCTGCTGAAGAAGGCGAACCGGCCGTATGATGAACCCAAGCTCCAAGAATACACCCAAACCATAGTGAGTGGGCCGAAGTGTCCCTTCGCCTCAGGGGCACAGGACTTGGGCCTCAAGCTGGTAGATTTCTGGGTTTGCAGGGTCTTTTGTTTGCTGATTCTTCAGGCCTGGATGAAGTGACTCCCAGTGGCAGCTGGCAAAAGGGATGTAGTTCATGGGCCCCCACACCCTCTCTCTGAGGTCCCACTGAGCCAACTCCTGGGCCAGTGTAAGTCCAGAAACATCTGTTTTCATGACAACCTCTGCAGCTCCAGGAGAAGATAAACTTGGAGAGAGTGGGCCTTTGGTGCTGGCCTGCTGGCCTCTGCAGCCCTCTCCCTGAGAAGGGGAGAGAAGAGCAGTGACTGATTTAGACCATGTTGGTCCCTGGCCTCCAGGAGACCTCAGAGGAGGCATGAGCACGCTCCACCCATCTTCCTTCCTCTCCAGTAAAGGGCCTGGTAGGTCAAGGTCCCACACAAGAGAAGGTCAAAGCAAATAACCCAGGCACCTCTTTCTGTCCCCAACAGCTACGGATGTTTGACTTGAATGGGGATGGCAAATTGGGCCTCTCAGAGATGTCCCGGTAAGTGCCTGCCCTCACCCCCAGTGCCACTTTTAATAAGACCTCTGCAGATCATTCCTGTGCTACTGTCCCGATCTCTAAGATCAATCAGTGGGAAAAGTGACAGGTCAGGTGTCACAAAGCTCAAGGCAAAGCTAGACAGAATCGTGACGTCAACACCTCCGTGAGTCTGTTTTCCTCTTTTTAGAACTTTCCACTAACTCCTGATTATTAAGTGCTCAGAGGTCATTTCCACAACTACAGACGCTGCTTCTGCATCCCGCCAGGTCCCTGTTGTTCTTGCCTCTGCTCTGTCTCCTAATCTCTGCTCTAACATTTTCTTCCAGACTCTTGCCCGTACAGGAAAATTTCCTGCTTAAATTTCAGGTAAAAGAGCCACTTTGCTTTTCTTCACTTCCTCCCTTCCTCTCATCGCTCTAAGCTTCACCCTTCCACCCTCCTGTCCCCCAGTCCACCACACACACACACACACACACACACACACACACACACACACACAGACACACACACAGACACACACACACTCGGGGGGCTTTTGCTTCTCTCTTTAATACGTTGGGCCTTCCAGGGCATGAAGCTGACCTCAGAAGAGTTCAACGCGATCTTTGCATTTTATGACAAGGTAAGAAGGAGGGCAGTGTGGGATGGAAAAGGAGAGGCCCCACCACCAGGGGAGCCCCCCTCCAGAATGGCTCAGCTGCATCCTTAGGAATAGAGGAGCTGTCAGAGGGGCAGCTTGGGCCATGTGGTTTCCCCCTGTACTTTTTGATTCCCATCTTCTGCTGGGCGAGAAGACAAATGTCATTTGCCATCTGTAGCCTGTGGAGCCCAAGGTTTGGGTTCCTTGAAAGAGCAGGAGAAAACAGCTCATGGCAGAAGGTTGTGCTTGGAGCTAGGGTGTGATGACGTTGTTGGGGCCAAAGAGAAGAGGTGCTCAGTACTGCCCCCTGGGGCCAGGTCATGGTTTTGCACAGGAGCCAGGTGTTTTTCTAGGAAGTGGGGCGTGAGAGGACCTCCTTACCACCCGTCACCCCTCCTTTCGCTGTCCCCTGCCTGTGGGACTCGCATGGTCTTCCTTATAACCAAAGGATTGGGGATAAACTTTAAATAGCCTGTGTTCATCCTGACATCGTATTATGGGATGTGGCTAAATGGTTCTTGAACCTCATATTTTGAATGCAAATGAAAAACACCAGAAGGAAAGGCTATCAAAAGTTTGCCCTGAACTGGCCCATTCCTGCATTGACTGGTAAAGTCAGAAGCGATCTGTTATTTTGGTGCCGCGCAGTGTTATTTTGAACACCTCCTATGCGCAGACCAAAGGGAAGGTTAGACTCTGCAAACTCCCTGGCATGGGTGAGGGGAAGCAAGAGGCGAGGTCAGGGGTCGCAGGGCCTGATTTCTAGAGCTCTGTGCTGACTCTCTGCGCCCCACCCCAGGATGGAAGTGGCTACATTGATGAGAATGAACTGGATGCCCTTCTGAAGGATCTGTATGAGAAGAACAAGAAGGTGAGCAGCTGAGCCCAGAGGCCTGAGGGGATGTCCCCAGGGGAGCAGAGAGGCTTCTGAGGGAGGGGTGGAAAGGAATGCCCCGGGGTGCATTTTGCTCCCCTCGGATCAGCCATAACAAGGCAATGGCAGTTTTTTGGTTTGGTTTTGTTTTTTCTGGTTGCTTGATTGATGTTTTGTGTTTTTTTATTTTTACTGTGTTAAATATAGATGACATAAAGGTGACCATCTTAACCATTTTTAAGTCTATAGTTCAGTGGCATTAAGTACATTCACCATGTTGTGCAACCATCACCACCATCCATCTCCAGAGCTTTTTTCATCTCCCCAAAATGAAACTCTGTCCCCATTAAACAATAACCCCCCATTCCTCCCTCCCCTCAGCCCCTGGCACCCACCATTCTCCTGTCTGTCTCTATGAATTTGACTGCTCTAGCTACCTCATATAAGTGGAATCATATAGTGTTTGTCTTTTTGTGATTGGCTAATTTCACTTAGCATAATGTCCTCAAGGTTCATCCATGCTGTAGCGTGTGTCAGAATTTCCTTCCTTTTTAAGCCTGAATAATATTCCATTGTGTGTCTGTCCCACATTTTCTATCTGCTCATCTGTGGACGGACACTTGGGTTGCTTCCATCTGTTGGCTGCTGTAAATGATGCCATGATGAGGCGATGGGAGTTTTGACATGGCCCATTTCCTGGAATTATCAGCCACGTTGCCAACAAAAAAGACTTTTAACACAAGGAGAGGTTTTAAAGAGCAGGGGCCAAGGGGGGGGGGTGAGGGTTTCTGAATAGATTAACTGCAGAATCGGGAGCTGGGAAGGGGCTAAATGGAGTCACCGAAGAATATGTTCCCCTCAAAGAAAAGGCTGAGAAGTGAACTCTATCACTTCATGTGGTCATGTTGCCTCTTGGACAGACCCCGGGAGGCCCTCCACGGGCTCCTCTGGTGCCCTGGGTGGGAGGGGTCAGGTAGAACAGGAACCAGGAGACAAGCCTTCACAGCTGTCTTCCTTTACCTCCTGGAAAATGTCTTTCTCTGAGCAAATGGTTTGGCTGCTTTCTTTAATTAGATGATGAATGTTCTATAAATCCTTGTGTTGTCTAACTGTCTTGGCTGCCAGGCTAGAGCTAAATTTAATGCTCAATTTCAGGGGAAAAAAAATCATCACAGCCTCTGAGTCTATCTGTCTCTCTTTCCAATTGCTTTCCGATCTCTTAATCTTTATCCTGAGTATCAGCCTTCATTTCTTTCATCTGAAATTTGGTTTTTTTCTTGATGTTACCTACAATTGCTTTTTGAAAGAGGCAGAAAATAAATTATAAGTAAGCAAATACTTCCTAGGAAGAAGGAAGTACTCACCAAGTGTTTGAGCTCAAACTTTTTCCTGGCACCAAATTCTAGGAGAAAATTATTTATGCATCTTTATGTGTCCAAGGAATGTTGGGCATCATAATGGAAAATATCTTTAACTGCAATTGTATTAATGAGGCATAATTTTTCTCCATATGGCTCAGCCTTATGCCTGAGGTTGGTACACCCTGAAGGCATGTATTAAATCTCAAATTTCCTCGTCATCACCTAACTAGGCTCTTTGTTGATTAACACAAAAGACAACTCATATGGCTGCACTGGTTAACTTGAGATGTGGGAACAAAAAAAGAATCAGGTGTTGGGGTTAGGAAGCAATTCTGAAGGTTAGAGAACAAGGATATTAATAAAGTTGTTTACCGGGAAGCCTTTTCCTGTAGCAAGCTCCAGATTTGGCATCTGGTGATCAAGAGAATGATCAGTAGAAAGAGAGAGCTGCCTGACTGTAAACCACGGCACCTGAGTTGGGAGGGGAAAGGCCATTACTGGTGACCACACGTGGCAGATGCTCGGTCCATTTTGATGCCTGCATGGACTGTGATACGGTTTCTGAGCAGATGAATGTTTGAGGCTCCTGAGGGATAGGCTGTTAGGATCAAACTTTGATATTTCTTAGTACTCCTAAGGCAACTCCCTAAAGTCTTCCCCAGCTTCAAGCAAAACTTCTAGACATAGAAAGTAAGCAGCCCCCTCCCTCTATGCTGCTAAGACTCTTGCTGCCACACTGCATGAGGAGGTGGGGGGGGTCTTCTAAAGCTCAGGGGTTGATATATGGGATCCCTTACTTGGCTCCTAATTGAGTGGCAGATAGCTCGGCACATCCTAGTGTTATGAATTAAGTGACATTTCCAGGGATTTCACAACTCTAGGGAAGATGCCCCCAAAGCCAGGGATGCTTGCAAAGTGCCTTTGCGCTGGGTGGTAGCACAAAACCAGAAATCAGTAACAGGAGGGGATGTCACGAAACAATGCAAGGAAAGGCTGACCTTTGAGCACCGAAAAAGAGGTGACTGAGGACAGGTGAACCAGGTAAATAATTAGACAAACTTCAGGACTCAGGGGACTAAGGATATTTATGGCTGTAGAGTTGCTCCAATCCTTTAGTGAATACCTTAGTCTTTATACCTCAGTTTTCTCATTAGCTGAGTGGGGGTAATGACCCATCAGCCTAGAAGGGGAAGTAGTAAAAATATCTGCCAACATTTTCAACACAAAAGAAGAAGAAGGAGGAGGGAAGAGGAAGGGGAAGAAGTGAAGGGGACAGGAGGGGAGAGGAGAGGAGAGGAAGGGAGGAAGCAAGGAAAGGAAAAGATAGTTAAGTGATTTTCCAATGTTGATGATGACTTTGCTATATATCAGACCTATTGGCTATTTGCATCCAAAGCAGTTCTCATAAAGTATATATTCAACAAGGCTTACTGGATGTTGGTGTTCTATTTAATGTTGGCCTCCATTTTATATGAGACTGCGCATATGTCCGTGGGTTGCCTCTGAAGGCCACAAAAAGCCAGTGAAGAAGAAGTAGGCTGGGGAGCTTTGCTGCTGGAGGAGGCAGGAGTTAGAATTCCTTGTTTAAACGGGTGAGGCTTAGGGAAGTCTGGTCCAAGGAGCCTGAAGACAGGACCAGGGAGTCTCCCTGGCATTCTGTTCCTCACCTGCAGGGCCCCAGACTGAGAAAACAGGGGCCCAAGAGGTAGAGGAATTTATACAAGTTATGCAGAGAGAATGGCTGTCACCACAGCAGCTGCTGTTTGGGGAGTGCATGCTCTGTGTCAGGTGCTGTGCTAAGTGTCGTCTATGTTCATTCCCTCATCTAACAGTCATAACACCTCAGTGAGGCAGGCCTACCAGTGAACCCATTTTACAGATGAGGCAGCTGAGACTCGGGAAGGTTGAATACTTTCCCCAAAGCAATGCAGCCAGTAGGTGAAAGAGAGAGGGTTTCAACCCAGGGCTTTCTGACTCCAAAGCCCCTGCTTTTATCCCTCTAAGCCATGTGCACTGGGATGGGATGAGAGAAAGGTTCCTGGGAGTGTGTTTGTGAATGAACAGGTGACCCATTTGGGTGGGGCCCTCCTCTGAGCCCGCTCTTACCCTCTCCCTCTGTCTCCTAGGAAATGAATATCCAACAGCTCACCAACTACAGGAAGAGTGTCATGTCCTTGGCTGAGGCAGGGAAGCTCTACCGCAAGGACCTGGAGATTGTCCTCTGCAGCGAGCCCCCCCTGTAAAGGGGGGACAAGGGCTGCTTCTCCACCTCCCCCAAACCTGCCCCTGCTGCCCAGCCCCTTTTCCCAGACCCGGAGATCATGAGCGCCCCTCCCCCACCCCTGCAACCTGCACAGGCCAGCCTGCAGAGCAGGAAAGGAGAGATGGAGGATGGGCTGCTGATGGGCCTCCTGGAGCCCCCTCCAACCCAGCCCTGATGTGAGTGACATACTGGTCTGCCTGTAGCAGGGCAACAACCACATGGAAGGTGGGCGGGGCACGGGTGGAGATTCCCTCATTCTTTCGCTGTGATGCATGAGCTCAGTCACTGTATGATTTAGGCTTCCATGTCCAACAGAGCAGACCCTTCCCTCTTGCTCCCTTCCGCCTCTCCCCCATGCCACCACCCACCCCAAACTCCCAGGTGCCATCCACCTCCTGGCTAATGGTGTAGCTGCCTTCTCAGAGTCTATTTGTGGCGGGCACCGGCCCGCTCCTTGTCTTCTTGACTCACCGGGCTCCTTTTCTCTTTGGGTTCCTTGTCTCCTTGTTTACCAAAGAAGAGTTTACAGACAATAAAATGGAAACGTTCCGCTGTGGAAGCTCACCCAGTTCTGGTTGAGTGGTCAACTTCTCCTGCAGTTCGCAGCTCTTCTTGACAGAAGCCTGTTCTCACGTGGGCTGGGGAGGGCATCAGGACCACCCAACTGGGGCATAACCACTAAAAGCAGGGCCATGGGACCCCAGGACTCTGGGCTTTCACTCACCATTCACTGCCTGTCTCTTCAGCAACCTGTCACTTCTTTGCTCCATGTTTCTTTCTACATCTCCGAGATTATGACAGCAGTTACCAGCTCATTGAAAGCTTACTAAGTGCCAGGTATTGTGCAAAACAGTTTACCTGAGGTATCTCTCTTAATCCCTTGAGAGGTGCTGTGATTGTCTCCACTGTAAAGACACAGAACCTCAAAGAGGTTAAGTAGCAAGCCCCACATCTCATCACCAGTTGGGGGCAGAGCCAGGGTATGAATCCTGCGGATCAGATCCACATTCTTTACGGTGGGGCTACAGTGGGGTGTGGAACAGTGGGGCTGGGTGAGCTGCACCAAGCCGGGGGGACCTCCAGCCAGGAGTTCCAGACCACCATGAACTTAGCTTCTCCTCCTCAAAGTGCAGTTTACCCCACAACTCAGCAGGTGCCCCTTGGTGTAGGGCCAGCTTGGCATTTGGGTCCGCAGAGCTCTGAGATCCTACAATAGAGAGGTAACTGATTTTTTTTTACCGCTATCCTTTATTGACTGCCTACAAGCTGCATTTTGACATGACCTCATTTAATGCCACAGCAGTCCTACGTGATGGATACTATCTTCAGATGAAGAGACTAAAGCTCAAAGACATTAAGTAACTTGTTCAAGGTGATGCAACTCTTAAGTGGCAGAGTAGGACTCAAATGTGGGCTGGTCTGACTCCAAAGTCACCTTTGGAAATGTCCTCTCTTTGATGTCCAGGACCCGTCTGGAGCAGTGGACCCCAAGGGTGGACATGCCTGGATCAGACATAAGTCTCATTTCTTTCCCAGCCACACCCTTTTCTGAGAGAAGCCATGCTGTTCACAGCCTGGATGATGGGCCCAGTGAGCCATCCGACCTCTGTCCGCCTGCCCACAGCTGACTGGGCCGAGAGTGGACATCTGGTCCAAGCTGGGCCAGCAGGCATCTCCTGGACTCTGAGGCTGAGGTCCAGGGCTGTCAGGCAGAACGTGTGGCATTGGAGCTGGGTGGCGATTCAGCTTTGGGGGTGAGAGGTGGCACCATGGCAATCCAAAACCAAGCCCAGACTGGTGCTGGGAAGAGTAGAAACCAAGAGCCTGGGGGAGGCAACCAGTCAGAGTAGTGGAGAAAATATGCAGAGAAAAACAGGGAAGAAGGAGGGAGACAGAGAGAGTGAGAGAGAAACAGAGAATAAGAGAGACAGAAGGAGAAAGACACATACGGCGAGACTGAGGGGGAGGGGAGCCCTCTAACCACTCCCATGAGGCTCTGCTGCACTTCCTAATACCCATCGATTTCCCTGCCCTCCCCATGTATCCTACAAGGGCATTTCCTGTCCACTAAGTGCAGTCATCCTGTCACCCCCGGTCTTTGGCCATCATCTGGATGAGGTGCCGTAGCCCAGTCTGTGGTTTCACACCTGCCCTCCCAGACACACTGCTTTGTCTGTGCTCCCCCTCAAAACATCCAGGCAAGATGGGGTGTAGCAGTTGCCCCGGTCTGGGATCCACGCAGGGACAGAACTGGGTCCTTTTCCACCTGGTTGCAGCTCCCGGACCCGGGTTTGCTGGAGCCCTTTCTCCCAGGCTCGCTTTCCACTCAGCGGAAGGGGAAACATGCGCTCGAGGAGACTTAGTCTTCTTTAATGAGCCCGTTGAGTGTGTTCTGAACGCAGATACCTGCTTATCGGGACAAAGGAAGGGAGAAGAGCGATCCCAAGGCCATCGCGGTGCCGTTGTTAGTGATGTCTTCAGACTCTCCTGTGTTAAGGAGACCCCACCAGGTGAACAGGGGCTAAGGCGACAGGGGGCGTGAGGTGGTACCTGGGATTCATTTAAACTGCTTCTTTCTCTCCATGAACGCTGGACTTTGTTGCTGCCTGACTCACGAATGCATTAGAAGCAGGTGAGCTCCAAACACAACCCTTTGGAGGAAGATCCTAGCCCAGCTCCCTGCCCTTGAATGGAATTTCCCATCCCAAATAGGAGCTTGGTACCTGAGGCCAGAGTCAAGGATACAGATACAGAGATTTCAACCTTAACGGCAATTGTCTCCGGGGTACATTCTGTATTCGCGCAATTCCCTTTGGAAAGATTGTCAAAAGCCAGGCACTAACCCATCTAACTCTATATTTTGGAGGGGGCGGGGCATCTGTGTTCTGCCGTAGTCTCCCAGGTCCCCCGCAGGAACGGCCCCACCCCTGTGAGGGATGCAGAGGGTCTCCAGCACCTTTCTCTTGGCTCCTGTTTCTCCATCAACTGCCCCAGCTTCTAACACAAAGGTCAGCACAAACAGTCTAGTAAGAGGAAGAAAAATGCCCAGGGGCATCAAGTCCGCTTAGTAAGTCCCAAGGAGGAGGGCAGTGCTCTCAGTCTTAACTCAATAAGCTAGAATTAATTGCATCTCAAGGCCAAGATGAGACATTCCCAGAGCAGGCAGCTCAAATCCACAAGGTGCCATATCACCGGGAAGAACCTTAAAGGGTTTGGACCACTGACGTTTTTCCAAGGAAAGTGCTAATAATAGAGATTTTCCTGATAATCACTTTCTACCGTATGTTGCATGGGGACACAATGAGAAGACAAAGACGTGAGGGATAGGTCTGGTGGCACTGAGATGGCACAGCTCTGACCACTCAGGGAACATGAGACCCCATGAGGAGGGGCCCCTTTGGTATGTATGGCTTTAAATATCTGGCCCACAGACCCTCTTGGCAGTAGTCACAAAGGGACTGTCCCTTCCTCTGGGTCCCATCCCTGGCTTCCCAATATTCAGCCTGGGTGCCACTCCCATGGGCACTTTGTCCATTGGGCTCCATTGTCTTCATTCAATATCAAATATTTACGGAGGACCTTCATGAAGCTTATACTCCAAGGTGAAAGACTGACCATAAACATAGATAAAAATATTCATAATGTAAAGTACTGGTAAGTGCTCTAAAGAAAAGTTCAACAAGGGAAGGGGACAGAGAAGGGGGAGGTGCTCTTTTAGGTTCTCTGAAAAGATGATATTCAAGTGGAGACATGAGGGAAATGAAGGCATGAACCTTGCTGCCATCTTGGGGAAGAGAGTCCAGACAGAGGAAACACCAGTTACAAAGGCCCTGAGGTGGAAGAGTTCCTCGTGTGCTCACAAAGAAAGCCACTGGGACCGGAGCAGAATGAGGGAAGGGGGTGAACAGGAGTGAGGTTGGGGAAACAGGTGAGGCCAGGTCATGTGGTGCACTGGAGGCCATGATAGTAAGGATTTCGGATCTTATGGTATCAAGGGAAGCCACTGAGGGGGCGATGTCAGAGAAGTGACATAATTTGATTTATTTTAAAGGTCACTCTGGCTCCTGTGTGGACACTAAACTATGGGAGGCAAGAGAGAAAGCAGACACCAGTTAGGAGGCTGATGCACTAGTGCAGTTGAGACATGCTGGTGACTTGGACCAAGGAAGTGGCAGGGAGGTGATATTAAATATCAGATCTGGACCTGTTGCTAAGATTGAACCAAAAGGGCTCGCTAAGAATTGGATAAGTGATGTGGGAGAAAGACAGGAGTCAAGAATGACTCCAAGGCTGTTAGCTTGAGCAATTGGGTGCATAGTGGGTGCAGCCACCGAGATGGGAGAGGAGCAGGTTAGGGGAAGGGTGGAGGGGAATTAGGATTGGGGACATGCTGCCTGGGATTTGGTGTCTCTGTCAGGACACCAACAGAAAACAGATGGCATGTTCACATTGTTGGTGTTCAACCAATGTCTGCGAGAGAAACGAATGCTGAATGCTGGAGACACAGCAGCAAATATGACAGTCCCTGGTTGCCGAGAGCTTAAAGCCTCCTGGGCCTGATTGAAGAGGAAAATAGCGACTCAGCAGGGTAAGTGGCAGGTCAGAAAAAAGCATAGGAAGAGGCCCCTAACCCAGATGGGGGTAGGGGAGAATTCCTGGCAGGAAAAAAAAATTAGCGTAAACAGTGGCACCAAAGCCAGAGGTGGGCAGGCTCATTTGGGGGAACTGCCAGTTGCTCAAGAGAGCTGGGGCTCAGAGGGAGAAACCAGAGAGAAGGTTCAAGGAGCCTACAGGACCAGCTCATGGAGGGCCCTGCGGCCTGCTACGGAGTGGGGCTGCACTCTCTTCTCCCAGGCTGCTTCGTGACCCCTCCCTTCCTCTTCTCAAGTGTCACCTTCTCAATGAGGCCCACCCTGATTAAACTGCAGCCCGCTGCCACCCCCGGCACTCTATAGCCCCCCATCATAGCACTATGACCACGTGACCTATGTGTTTAGGCCCCGCCCCCCCTGCAGCTAGACGGGAAGTCCAGAGGGCAGCCTGCTCACAACCTATGGTTCCTACGGTGTCTGCTCAACCCACCTTGGGGCCTGTTCCTTCCAGCCTCCTTCTCACCTAGTACCCCTCAACTCCCCAGAATAATGGCCCCCCAAAGATGTCTGAGCCCTAACCCTCAGAGGTAGTGACTACACTATCCCACCTGGCAAAGGGGAATTAAGGTTGTAGAAGGAATTATGGTTGCTAATCAGCTGACTTCAGGGGGATCATCTGGGTGGGCCCAAAGTAATCACAAGGATCTTTAGATGCAAAGAGGGAGGCAGAAGTCAGAGTCAGAGTGACAATATGTGAGAAAGACTCAGCCAGCCACTGCTGGCTTTGCAGATGGAAGCAGGAAGCACCTAGAAACTAAGA